AGAGCACAAGGCTCTTGATTAGTTATTGCATATTTACCTCGTTTTAGCACGGTTGAAAGCTTTTCTGTCAGTTCGAGTGTATCATTCCCAAAAGTAAAACAGCCCGAAGTGAAATTTCTGTGCTTTCGAGTTCGCAAATCTGTGCGAAAACAAGATGTGTGACAGGTTACAACGGTCGAAATGGTTTCTGTTGGACCAGTCCTACCCAACGAAAGCACTGAACAACCACTGGAAATACCACCTGATTCTCGCAGGTCCTGCTCGGAACTCTCAAGTGTCCGTAAGGGGAGAAAATGCTGCGTTTCTGAGCTACGAGAGCGTGAAAAGCGGCAGTCTATGACGCAATTAGGATCTCAGGCAGCTCAATAGCGGTGGCAGTATGGGGAAGAAATTAGCTGCGTTCTCACATGGGAAAGAGCTGGATGCAAGTGAGGTTCGGAGGGCAGAAGCTCATGCCGCTAGGATTACTTTATCGATAGAACACGGGACCGCGTCAGCAAACGACGCAACGCTAACAACGGATTTCACTTCTGAGTCCGAAACGCGATTCTCAGGCACGAGAGCTTCACAATCGTCAAGGGAGTCAATACCAAGCATAGCAGCAGCAGGATCAATTGGGTCAGCCGCGACACCCGCAACGGCATTATCGACGACAGTTTCTTCAGCAAGTGCTTTTCCCCCGATAACATCAGAATCCAAATTATTTACAGAGTCAGCATCAGCATCAGCGTCTGAATCAAAATCGGAATCAGAATCAGCGCGGTCCTCGGCAATACCGAGGGCCGTGTTGGACCATTCGCCCGCGCACAGCCTCCCCCAGCCTCACATCGCTCCGCAGGGAAGCAGCACCGCCATCGCTCCAGCCCCGGCGATCCGCCGCCCGGTATACTTCGCTACAAGGTCCGAACTCGGTATGAGCTCAGACCTCAGTATAATTTCGGAAGCAAACCAAAACGGCTACAGTACACTTTTGACTGCAAATTTCCCGCCAGGATGGGCAGCAGGGAGCAGCCCGAATCCAACCGCCACCTCACAGGCAGCCGCAAACGGAAAGAAAAATCCATTCGGTACAGTCACATCCGCAGGCGCTGCTGCAGCCGTGGCCGCGTTACAAGCACGCAAGCACTGGGTGAGCAGGCTACAGGAAGGGTTACCCCAGGCGGCGGTGGTGGTGCTGCGGGTGCTGGTGGTGGTGGCGGCTGCTTGGAGCGCGTGTGCTGTGATGTTCTTCTCCCTCGTTATAATGCCCTGGGTCATGCTCCACCTCTCCACCGCCTCCCACCCGCACTTCCGCGCCCTTCGCTTCAATCACACCCCCGTTGAGGCGCTTTCGGCTGCTGCGGGGGAGAAAGGACAGGGAAGCGGAGGAGGGAAACTCGGAGGGAGTGTGGGGGGAAGTGGTTGGGGAGTGAGAAAGGGGGAGGTGTGGAGGCCGAGGAGGGGGGAGGGGGTGTGTGAGCTGGGGAGGGGGGATTGGCAGATGGAGAGGGAGGGATATCCGCTGTACGCAGCAGAAGACTGTCCCTTCATTAGTGGCTCATTCAATTGCCTGGTGAGGAATGCGGAGCTTTGTGCTCACTCAAAAGGAACGCATCCATTGTGCGCAGCAGAATACTGACCCTTCATTAGTGGCACATTCAACTGCCTGGTGAGGAGGGAGGGTGAGTGAGCCTTGAGGAGAATCAAAAGAGTGTATGTATCCAATCCGTTTTATGCAGCGGAAGAGTTTTTGTTCCTCACTTCACATGGCGCAATAGTGACTGTGCCCTCCCATTCAAATATGCTCCTTCCCCTTCTCCTCACTCTCATACACACACACAACTCCCCTCCCCCCCTCCCCCCCCCCATCCCAATATCCCAGGAGAATGGCCACACAGACTTCGACTATCTTCACTTCGCATGGGCCGAGAACGATTTTGACTATCTTCACTCCCCATCCTTTTTCTCCCTCCCACATGTGTACGATCCAGGAGAACGGCCGAGCAGACTTTGACTACCTTCACTTCGCATGGCGCGAGAGCGACTGCGCCCACTCGTTCACTCGCTTCCGAGCGGATCGCTTCTTCGAGGCCTTTCAGAACCGTCGGATCGTCTTCGTGGGCGACTCTACATTGTTGTCGGTACGGTCCAGTTAAAGATCTCGTGTGCGAGATGACATACGGTCCTCAACAGTTGTTTCTGTGGGTGACTCTGCACGTCTTTCGATATGTTCCATCTCAGTGTAATCTCTGCCCCTGGTTTCCTTCCTCCCCCTCCCCCCAGCCCACACCCTCATTATCTCGCTCCATCCATCCATCTATCCATCCATCTATCCATCCATCTATCCATCCATCTATCCATCCGTCTCGTTCTTTTGACCTCTGCCAGTCACCACTCATCCCTAACCACCATAACATCCCCCCCTGCCCCTCTCCACTCTCCTCTCCTTTTGCCGTTTTCTCTCCATCCGTTGTTTGTAGATGTTCCAGTCGCTGCTCTGTCTGCTCTCCGTGGGTCCCTCCCTCCCACCCAATCACAGCATGCCAACAGAGCGACTCAACCGCACCTTCCCCTCCCTCCTCCACCCCCCTTCCTCGTCTTTCTCCTTTCCATCCTCATCCTCCTCATCGGCTGCTTCCGCTGCAGCCTCCAAAGCACCCGCTCCCTCTCCTTTGATCTTCCAGTACACATTTCCCCACTCCAACACAAGCCTTGACTTTTTCCACTCTGACCTTTTAACCATCTTGGAAAAATCCCCTTCTTTTTCTCCTGGGCAATTAGGTACACCTGCCCCGGATACACCTGCTGCAGATAAAACCGCTCCAGATACACCTGATTCTTTGTTGTCAAAGACTCAGTCCGAGACTGTCTCTGACAACGTCAATAACAGCGGTACTGCCAGCAGCATCGTTACTAACTTTAATGGCAGTAGCAACACCAGCAAAGGCGATAGCAGACGCCTTCTTACATATACTTCTGAAAACAGCCAGGAGCCAGGCTCGAATGGGGTGAATGCGGTGGAGCCCGGTTCGGACAGGTCCAGTGCGCTCAGGGCAGGTTTGGAGGGGCTGGGAGTGGTGAGAGTGCTGCGATTGGATGCGTGGGCAGCGTATGTGGTGGCATCACAGCCGCACGTGCTGGTGATTCACACGGGAGGGGCTTGGGTGGGGCTGCAGCGGCGGTGGCAGGAGCATAGGGCGCGTTCACATGCTTCTCAGGAGGGGCAGAAGGGGCATGAGGGGCAGAAGGGGCAGAAGGGGCAGAAGGGGCAGAAGGGGCAGCAGGGGCAGAAGGGGCAGCAGGGGCAGAAGGGGAAGGAAGCGCAGAAGGGGCAGGAAGGGCAGAAGGGGCAGGAAGGGCAGAAGGGGCAGGAAGGGCAGAAGGGGCAGAAGGGGCAGGAAGGGCAGAAGAGGCAGAATGTAGCAGCGAATGAAAGGAAGGCTTCTGATGCAGTGGATGAGAAGGGAGTTGAGAAAGGAGTGAAGGGAGGAGTGAAGGGAGGGATGGGTGCGGGGAAAGTGGGAGTGGGGGAAGGGGGAGGGGAAGGCAAGGTGGAGTTTGCTGGGGGAAAAGGGGAGGCTGTTGGGGGAAAAGGGGAGGCTGTTGGGGGAAAAGGGAAGGATGGTGGCGGAAAGGGGGAGGGTGGGGATGGAAAGGGGGAGATTGGTGGGGGAAAGGGTGGGCCAGGTGGGGGAAAGGGGAAGGCCGGTGGGGGAAATGCGGAGATGGGTGGGGGAAAGAGGGAGGCTGATGAGGGAAAGGGGGAGGCTGGTGGGGTAAAAGAGGGGGTTGGTGGGGCAAAGGGGAAGCCTGGTGGTGGAAAAGGGGAGACAGGTGGGGAAATTGGCAGAAATGCCACTGGAAATAAGGGTAAGGGTGAAAGGAATCAGGGCAAGGGTTGGGGGAATAAGGGAAGTGGTGGGGGCAGTAAGGGGGTTGGTGGGGCGAATAAGGGGAATAGTGGGGGAAATGGAGGCAGTGGTTGGAAACGCAAAGGCGGCGGTGGTGGAAAACAGGGAAACATTGGGTCCAATCAGGGAAAAAAGGAAAACATTGGGGGCAACCAGGGCAAGGGTGGGGGAAGCAAGGAGATTGGTCAGGGAAACAAAGGGAACGGTGCGGGAAAGAAGGGGAACAGTGGGGGGGATAGCAAAATCAGTGCGGGAAACAATGGGAATGCTGGGATGCCATTGGGAGGGAATAGTAAAGCTGGGCAGCAAGGGGGAGCGACAGGAAAGCAGGCAGGCAGCGAGACAAAGAAAGAAAAGGCAAAAGGAGAGAGCAGGGCTGATAAGGCGAAGGAGCAAAGAAAAGCTGTAGCAGCGGTGCCAAAATGGGGTGCACGAGGGGGTGGAGGAGGGAAGGACAAGCAATTGAGGAGGGTTGGAGGAGGACAGAAAGGAAGCAAGGAAGGTGAAAGAAAGCGATGGGAAAAGCAGGAGGCAGGGTCCGGGGGGCATGGTAAGCGAGGCAAGGGGCAAGAGAAGCAAGGCGAGGGAAAAAGGCTGGTCGGGGAAAAAATGGAGGAGGGGGTGATGAAACAGGGTGGTGATAACGGTGTCCAGGCAACAAGTGTCACCGACAGTGGTTTTAAGCCTGAAACTTTTGGAGGAGGGGAGTTGCGAATGGGCGATTTCGGTGATGATGATAGCATTCTGCAGAGTGACAGTATCGAGAGTGACAACAGCAGCAGCAGCAGCAGCAACAGAAGCAGCAGTGGCAGCAGTGTTCCAAAAAACAGCAACAGCAGCAATGGTTTCACTACCAGCAGTTCCAGTAACAGCAGTGTCCAGAGGAGCATCACCTGGAATCATAGTAGTTTCAGCATCATTCCCAGTAGCATTGCCAGCGGTGGCGGCAGGGACAGCCGCAAGGAGGGGAGGAAGGTGAGGGAGAGGAGTAGGAGAGGGAGGGGTAGGATTGGCAAGTGGCTATGGCAGCAGCGGCACCTGCTGAGCCTTTTGGATGGTACAGAGATTGTCCATAGGGAAGACAGTGAAAGTGCTTTTTCTCATCCACCCATGCCTCTGACTCTGACTCCCATGCATGTTGAGCGTCAAATGGCTGTTGATGATAGCGAGGGCCTCCATAAGGGAGACGGTGAAGGTGACTCTTTCCGTTCTCAGGCGCACTTGCTTCTGACACGTGTTGACTCGCCTGCGAAAGCAGGCAACAAGTTGATGCCCGATAGCACGGAAGGCTCAGATGAGGCGGGGCCCTTTCGTAGCATGGACGGTGCAGATGAAGTGGGGACAAGCATGGACTGCTCAGATGAAGTGGAAGCCCTTGGTAGAATGGACGGTGCAGATGAGGTGGAGGGGGGTTTAGTCAAGGCAGTGGCGGTAGGTGAATCGATAATCGAAGGGGGTGATGGGCGAATAGAGGAGGAGACCGAGCAGCAGCAGGGCGGTGGTTTCAGAGTGGCAGAATCTGACAGTATTCAAGAGCAGATGTCTGAAGCAAGCTCTTCAGCCAGTCAAGGGAATTCTCTTGAGGAGTATAGAGTGGTGAACGTGGAAGAAGTGCCGGGGCAGGGTAAGAGTTCTGAGATGCCTCAAAACGCAGTGGAAATGGATGAAGGGCCAGAGCAGGGTAGCAGTTTTCACGTTGCTACAGGTGCACAAGACGAGGGGGCAGCCAATAAGGAGGATGAAGTGCATGAACAGGATGGCGTTTTCCTAGCTGATGCTGGTGAGAACGACAAGTTGGCTAATGAGGAAGTCACACTTAACGAGGCTGCTAGTAAGGAGGATGATTTACCTGAGAAGCCTAGTGTGCTTCCATTTGACCTGCTTGACTCGGTTGACTTTCTTGACCCGGTATCAGCATTCACCAAGACCAGTGGGGAGGATGTAAGTAACGAGGCTGTTAATAAGGAGGACGGTCCACCTGAAAAGCCTAGTGTGCTTCTGCCAGACGATCTGCTTGACTCGCTTGACTTCCTTGACCCGATATCAGCTTTCACCAAGACCCTCCGCATGCTGCACCACTTCCTCTCCTCCCAACCCACCGCCGAATCCCTCCCGACTTTCTTCCTCGGGCTGCCCCGAGATCATTATTTCCGGGCAGACCAGGGCAACAGTTCGCTCTGCCTGCCAGACGACGCCACATGTAAAGAGAACGGGCAGTGTAGCGGGTTTTTGAGGCCGAGAGAGTGGTTAGAGGAGGGAGGGGAAGAGCAGGCGCATCAACAGCGGTGGCAACGGTGGCGGTGGCGGCAGGAGAGGGAGAGGAGGGAGAGAGGGAGGGAGTGGGTTCAGTCAAGTGTGGGGCAGATGGAAAGGGTGGTTGAGAGGGAGATTGGGATGGGGAACAGGGTTGTGCTGCTGCGGGCAGAAGGGTTGACTGATTCTCGCGTTGATGCTCATGTTGGTGCTGCCCTCCCTGATGATACACATGCGGGGGAGACGAAAAGGGAAGATTGCAGTCATTTTTGTGTGCCTGGAGTGCCGGATACATGGAATGAGATGCTGGTTGCTGCCCTAAGGCAGCAGGAAATGATGGCGTAACAATCATTTAGCAGTAAAGGTGGCTCTATTGCATGTACCATGCGTTGTAATGAATGTCTATATGGTGAAGCAATGACTTCATCGTTTTTTTGCATTCATCTGTTTGATTACAGAGTCATTGCAAAAGGAGAGCTCGGTGTACACAATACAAGGGGAGCAGGATTTTCTATACCTTGAAATATTGGTGCAATCTTTGCTCGTAAATAATAAGTAGTTCGATTCTGAATTCAAAGCTTCTTATAGCGGATCTTCCACGGTGACACTCCCCAGCAATCCTTCCTGCCAAAACCGCCATGGCTGTCCGCATGTTGCGGTAGCGCGAGCCGCTTGTATCCGCACGTGGAAAATCCCTCTCCATGGAAGCCTCCCCCATCGCGATACCTGATTTCGCGTCGCGCTTATTTTCTCAGTTTCGCTGTACGGTATCGACGTAGGAACAGCCAGGAGATTATCAAACCGCTCGTCGAAATCACAGGCCAGTGTCACCCTTGCAGACAGGAACGAGCTTCCGCGTTTATCGCACTGCGCCAAGAGACCAATTACCTTTCCTTTCGCAACATCGCGTGCAATTCGTAATCGCTAGTAGGAGGTTACCCGGTGGTTACCACTTCCAGCTTGTCGTTTCGCCGTCGTAATCTGGTAGTCCGTACCGATTACTACCTTTCGTGTACCCTTCAACCGCGTACCAGCCTTCCTAGAGTCTTCCAATGTTATACATACCGACTTGGTGGCCACGTTCCTCAGTGCAACTTCGTTTCGCGATTCGTTCTCACGCCGGCGAAAGCAGCCGAGCCTGCGATACGGGTCGTTCATCGTTTCACTGAATCCCTAATCTGCGTCCTTGAATCCTGCGACGCCTCCGAATTTCTGAGTTTCCTAGTTTAAGTCTTCTATTCCGAGCCTCCGAGCCTCTTCATCTCCGAGCCTCTTCGCCTCCGAGCCTCTTCGTTTCCGAACCTCTTCGCTTCCGAGGCTCCAAGTCTCCGAGCCTCTTAGCCTGCTTTGAGGCTCGGCTTTACATGGGTCGGTCGAGGGGAGCCGGGGAGGAGGATCACGCACCTAGTGGGGGCTCCAGGTGAGTGGGGTACTGAATGAGCTGTATTAGGGCCGGTAATAGGGTGAGCTAATAGGGGAGTCGGGGGCGCCTAGTGGGGGCTCCAGGTGAGTGGGGTACTGAATGAGCTGTATCTCAATGATGGGCACGGGAAAAAGAGGATGTTGAATGTTGCTGGTGCTACTAACGGGTGAGCTAATAGGGGAGCCGGGGAGGAGGATCACGCACCTAGTGGGGGCTCCAGGTGAGTGATCCGGTGTGCGGTGGATGGTATGTTGCTGGTGCCAATAACGGGCGAGCTGATAGGGGAGCTGAGGAGGGGGACCACGCGCCTAGTGGGGGTTCCAGGTGAGGGGTGATGGTAACGGGGTGTGTGTTGCTGGTGCTAGGGAATGGGCTAAGTAGGGAGGGGGATCACACTCCTTGTGGGGGTTCCAGGTGAGGGGTGATGTGTGCGATGGATGGTATGTTGCTGGCAGGACGCTGCGGGCAGGGGGGAGCAGGGGGGAAAGGGCATCTTTTCCTTTCAACCCCTAACCTCCCCTTTTTCCCACTCCCCCTTCCTCCCCAAACCCGCTCGACTCCCATGCCCCCCCCCCCCCTTCGTCCCCCTTCCCCTTCCCCCGGACCCAAGCGTCGCCGCTATTCCACGCCTTGGGGGTGGGGAGCAGCGTGGGAGGGCTCACATTTCCCCTTCAACCCTTCCTTTCCCCCGTTCCCCGCCCCTTTCCTCCTTTCCTCCCCCTCCCCCTCCCCCTCCCCCTCCCCCTCCCCTCCCCATTCCCCTCCCCCAGACCCAAGCGTTGCCGCTGTGCAACCACGAAGCTGGCAGGGCGCCTTGGGGGAGGGGAGCAGCCTGGGAGGCTCACATTTCCCCTTCAACCCTTCCTTTCCCCTTCTTTCCGCTCTTTTCCTCCTCAAATCCCCCGTCCCTCTTCCTCCCCTCCCCATCCCCTCCCCCTTCTTCCCCCCTACTCTACTGTTCCCCTCCCTCCAGGCCCAAGCGCCGCCGCTATGCCACCACAAGCTGGCAAGACGCTGTGGGGGGAGGAAGCAGCGGGGGGGGAGGCGTGGGGGGGGAAGGCGCAGGCGCAGCAGCAGGGGGCGGGGGGGGACCCGGGGGCGGGGGGGGAACAGGCGGGGGGGGGCGGAAGGGGGTGTTTCACTGCAACTACTGCCACAGGGATGTGACGGGGGAGGTGCGCGTGAAATGTGCGGCGTGTGTTGACTTTGACCTCTGCGCTGAATGCTTCTCCGTGGGCGCTGCTGTTCACCCGCACTCTGCTTCACATCCTTACCACGTTATGGTGAGAGGAAGGGGGGGGAAGGGGGAATGGGGAAGGGAGGGGGAAGGGAAAGGGGAAAGGGGTGAAGTGTGTGGCGTGTGTGGACTTTGACCTGTGCGCTGAATAGAAGGGAAGGGGGGGGAGGGGGAGGAGGAGGGTGATGGAAAGGGAGGGGGAAAAGGAAAGGCGCTGCTGCTAACCCCCACTCTGCCTCCCACCCCTACCACATCATTGTGACCGGGAGGGGGGAGGGGGAGGGGGAGGGGGAGGGGGAGGGGGAGGGGGAGGGGGAGGGGAAGGGGGGCGGGGAGGGGGGCGGGGAGGGGGAGGGGGACGGGGAGGGGCCACATGTAAAAAGAGTATTTTGAGACGTCTCAAAAATACTCTTTTTACACGGAGCGGGAGGGTGAGGGGGTAGCGGAGGCGGAGGGGGAGGGGGGAGGGGGGAAGGGGGGAGGGGGGAGGGGGGAGGGGGGAGGGAGGGGGGAGGGGGGAGGGGGGGGGGGGGAGGAGGGAGGGGGGAGGGGGAGGGGGAGGGGGAGGGGGAGGGGGAGGGGGAGGGGGAGTTCGAGGGAGAGGGAGAGGGGTCAGGGGAGGGGGAGGGGGAGGGGGAGGGGGAGGGGGAGGGGGAGGGGGAGAGGGAGGGGGAGGGGAGGGAGAGGGGGAGAGGGAGGGGGAGGGGGAGGGGGTGGGGGAGAGGGAGGGGGAGGGGGTGGGGGAGGGGGAGGGGAGGGAGGGGGAGGGGAGGGAGAGGGGGAGAGGGAGGGGGAGGGGAGGGAGAGGGGGGGTGTGAAAAGTTGAAGCGAGCGTGGTAAGGGGCACGGGATTCACGAGGGAGGGATGGAAAGGTTTAGGGAGGGGAGGGGGAAAAGGAAAGGGGATGGGGAATGGCGGAAGGGGAGGGGAGAGGGGGATAGGTGGGCAGACAGGAAATGGGAAGGTGGACAGACTGGGAGTAGGAAGGTGGGCAGAGGGGGAGTGGGAAGGTGACCTTCCCACCTTCCCACTCCCAGCCTGCCTACCTTCCCACTCCCAGTCTGCCCATCTTCCCACTCCCCTCTGCCCTCCTTCCTACTCCCCCTCTACCCACCTTCCCACTCCCAGTCTGCCCACCTTCCTACTCCTCGTCTGCCCACCTTCGCAATTCCCCTCAATTTGTACAGCACTCTCTTTCTTATCCAGTTGGTCCGTCAGGCTCGCGTTTTCATCATTTCATGTTTTCCTGCTCCCGACCACTTTGACATGCGTTGACTTTGCATGAACGCATTCTGACTGTGTGCCTCCAACCCCACCAGGACACGATGAGCTTCCCTCTCGTGCACGAGGACTGGACTGCCGACGAGGAGATGCTGCTGCTGGAGGTGAGGCATGGCACTGCCTTGTTCACTGTTATGGTTCATTGTTTGTAATGCAATGAGCTCCCCTGCCCTCTCGTGCGCAAGGACTGGACTGCCGAGGAGGAGATGGTGTTGCTGGAGGTGAGGCGTGGCCTTGTGGGAAATCTTTAGATAATTTCTTTCAGAATAATTCCTTTCAGAATATTTTTCCACAGAATAATCTCGTTTGTTCAGTTGTTTTTAACGGAAAATTGCTGAATTTGGTTCACATCAACTCCAAGTGCATGGCAATGATTGTCCTTTTCACTGCACCAACAGGTTTTGGAGATGTACAGAATGGGCAACTGGGGGGAGATTGCAGCAGAGTATGTGAAGCTCCCCTCCCTACTTCTCGCTCCCATTCTCTCCCTTCTCCCTATCCTGCTCTCCCACACCACGCCAACCAACAGGCCCTGGAGATGTACGGAATGGGAAATTGGGGAGAGATTGCAGAGCACGTGGGGTCCAAGAGCAAGACACAGTGCCACGACCACTACCTTTACGACTACCTGCTGTCCCCCTGTGGGCCACTCCCTGTGAGTGTTCCGTTCCATCTCTCTGAGAGTTAGGATCGGCCATCATATCTGTATGTGATGTGATGTGAGCACCCGGGCATGTGGGCGATTGGGGGGGTCCAAGAGCAAGGGGCAGTGCCACGACCACTACCTTTACGACTACCTGCTCTCGCCCTGTGCGCCTCAAAAGTCAAGTGAGCGGATGTAAGTCTACCATCCGCTCAATTGACTTTTGAGGCGCCTCAAAACTGCTCTCACCCTGTGGGCCCCTGCCTGTAAGCCTACCATCCGCTCACTTGTCTGTCTGCCTACCAGTTCACGAGCAAGACGCAATGCCGCCACCACTCCTGCTATGATTACCTGCTGTCCCCATGTGGGCCCCTGCCTGTGAGAAAACCACACCACCACCTTGGTGTATGTAGAAAAACAGATCCCCTGTGTAGATCCCCTGTCTGTTTACCTGCAAGCAAGGCGTAGTGTCACCACCACTACTACCTCTCTCTCTGACTACCTGCTGTTCCCACACGGAAGCAGCCAAGGCAGCAATGGAGGAGCCGGAGGCAGCAGGGACTGCTGGCTTGAAGTTATCTCTTATCTCCCTCTTCCGTGCGCTGCTAGCTCAACTTTAACCCGCACTTTTTATCTGTCTCCCTCCCATGGCCCTCTTCCTGTATTCCTGCCTCTCTTTCTCCAGGATTGACACGCCTGCGAACCCAAGCAGACACGGAAGCAGCTAAGGCGGCCATGGAGGAGCAGGAGGCGGCCGAGACTGCTGAATTGAGTCTAACCCTTATTTCCCTACTCCGCTTGTGCCTCCTCCGCTTGTGCCTCTCCCTTTCCTTCTAGGACCTATCTCGCCTGAGCACCCAGGCAGACACGGAAGCAGCCAAGGCAGCCATGGAGGAGCAGGAGGCGGCCGAGACTGCTGAATTGAGTCTAACCCTTATTTCCCTACTCCGCTTGTGCCTCCTCCGCTTGTGCCTCTCCCTTTCCTTCTAGGACCTATCTCGCCTGAGCACCCAGGCAGACACGGAAGCAGCCAAGGCAGCCATGGAGGAGCAGGAGGCGGCCGAGACTGCTGAATTGAGTCTAACCCTTATTTCCCTACTCCGCTTGTGCCTCCTCCGCTTGTGCCTCTCCCTTTCCTTCTAGGACCTATCTCGCCTGAGCACCCAGGCAGACACGGAAGCAGCCAAGGCAGCCATGGAGGAGCAGGAGGCGGCCGAGACTGCTGAATTGAGTCTAACCCTTATTTCCCTACTCCGCTTGTGCCTCCTCCGCTTGTGCCTCTCCCTTTCCTTCTAGGACCTATCTCGCCTGAGCACCCAGGCAGACACGGAAGCAGCCAAGGCAGCCATGGAGGAGCAGGAGGCGGCCGAGACTGCTGAATTGAGTCTAACCCTTATTTCCCTACTCCGCTTGTGCCTCCTCCGCTTGTGCCTCTCCCTTTCCTTCTAGGACCTATCTCGCCTGCGCACCCAGGCAGACACGGAAGCAGCCAAGGCAGCCATGGAGGAGCAGGAGGCGGCCGAGACTGCTGAATTGAGTCTAACCCTTATTTCCCTACTCCGCTTGTGCCTCCTCCGCTTGTGCCTCTCCCTTTCCTTCTAGGACCTATCTCGCCTGCGCACCCAGGCAGACACGGAAGCAGCCAAGGCAGCCATGGAGGAGCAGGAGGCGGCCGAGACTGCTGCGCGGGCTCAGGAGGCGGTTCTGTACAACGTTCCCGTGGTCAAGTGAGTGTTGGTGGCGAAGCACGGTGAAAAATTCAGTCAGAAGCTCCCAAGACACCAATGAGCAGCGAGCAGCGAGCAGGTTCCAAAGCCAAGCACAACGAGTTTGACCCCGAGTATGACAACGAGGCAAAGGCACCACTGTGTGTCGCTTACCTTTCATCTTTCCTGTTTTTCCCACCATCCCTTCCTTCTCCTGCCCTCCCCCCCTCCTCCCCTCCTCCCCCCACCACCACAGATCTGAACCCGGCACCAAGACAGACGACGCTGCAGCGCCGATCACGAGCGGGTACAACGCCAAGCGCAACGAGTTTGACCCGGAGTATGACAACGAGGCAGAGGCGCCGCTGGCAGAACTAGAATTCAAGGAGTCGGACTCGAGTGTGGATAGACAACTGAAGATCAAGATGCTACACATCTACTACTCACGGTGTGTGTTTCTTTCTACTGATAAGAAATCTAGTGGATGTGGTTGTACTGTTTATTAGTCGACTAAAAGGGGCAGCAGAGGCACCACTGGCAGAACTAGAATCCAAGGAGTTGGACTTGAGCGTTGACAGACAACTCAAGATCAAGATGCTGCACACCTGCTACTACTCCAGGTGCGGTTGGGTTGTGTTGCGGATGTCACAGCGTGCAACAGTGTCGTCTGTACAATGTTGGCAGAGCTGGAGTTGAAGGAGTCGGACTGAATTGTTGATAGACAGCTGAAGATCAAGATGCTGCACACCTGCTGCTACTCCAGGTGCGGTTGGGTTGTGTTGCGGATGTCACAGCGTGCAACAGTGTCGTACCGTACAATGTTGGCAGAGCTGGAGTTGAAGGAGTCGGACTGAATTGTTGATAGACAGCTGAAGATCAAGATGCTGCACACCTGCTGCTACTCCAGGTGCGGTTGGGTTGTGTTGCGGATGTCACAGCGTGCAACAGTGTCGTACCGTACAATGTTGGCAGAGCTGGAGTTGAAGGAGTCGGACTGAATTGTTGATAGACAGCTGAAGATCAAGATGCTGCACACCTGCTGCTACTCCAGGTGAGTAGCCCCACTGGTGAAGCTTGGCTGGAGTTCAAAGAGTCGGACTCGAGTGGGGATAGACAGCTGAAGATTGAGATGCTGCACATCATTGTACTACTCACGGTGCAAGTGGTTGCAGAGTGGTCTGTATTGTAGATGCTACAGTGTACATCAGTGTTGCATGGTACATGTGGTTGGAGGCTGTCAGTGCTGCCAGCCAGCGATGCCGGAGTTGAAGTATTTGGACTCGAGTTTCGAGAGACAACTGAAGACCACATATGTTGATGTGGCACATATACTGCTCCAGGTGCTCGTGGCTCATATTGGTAAATACCACTCCAGACGCACGTGATTTTGTTGATATATGTGCATTGAGCGTCACTGACAAAGCTTTCCCCCCCTCCTCTCTCCTTCAGGCTGGAAGAGCAGTCCCGGCGAAAGGCCTTCGTCTTGGAGCGTGGTCTGCTGGATTCGAGAAGAGGAGTACGGTGTAATGCAAGGCTAGAAGAACCACATTCACTTCACTCCACCCCCTCCTCACCCGCTCCCCTCTCCCCGTCAGGCTGGAAGAGCGGTCTCGTCGCAAGGCCTTCATCTTGGAGCGTGGCCTGCTGGAGCTCAGCAGTCGGCCTCCTCCCTTTTCCCTCTCCCCCTACCCGCCCCCCTTCCAGGCTGGAAGAGCGGTCCCGTCGCAAGGCCTTAATCTTGGAGCGTGGCCTTCTAGACCCGAGAAGAACGGTCACTCACTGAGGCCCTCCCCTCCCCGCCCCCCCCCCCCTTTTTTTTTCCTCTTCAGGCTGGAAGAGAGGTCTCGGCGCAAGGCCTTCATCTTGGAACGTGGTCTGCTTGACCCGAGAAGAGTGGATGGAACGATTCGACCCGACACCAACAGCAGCAGTAGGGAGAGAGTGAGGGACAGAGACAGGGACAGGGAGAGGGGCGGGACAGATGAGCAACACAAGAGAGAGGATGGCGCGGAACAGGGAGGGGAAAGGGAAGGGGGGACTCTGGGGGAGATGGGGGCGGAGGCGGGAGAGGGTGGGGTGGAGAAGGGGGAGGGGGGAGGGAAGCGCGGGGGGAAGCGAGGAGGGGGCGGGGAGAGGAGGAGGTCGAAGGAGGAACGGGAGATGTTCCTGCGGTGCCGCGTGTTTGCGAGGTTTCTGAGTGCAGAAGAGCACGAGGGGCTGGTGCAGAGCTTGACTCAGGCGGAAAAACTCAGGGACAGAGTGGCCGTGCTGCAGGTGAGAGGGTGAAATGAAATGGTGACTGAAAGCTGTTGGTTTTACTAAAATAACGCCTGGTACTTTGCTGGAGCACGAGGGGCTGGTGCAGAGCCTTACTCAGGTGCAGAGACTGCGAGACAGAGTGGCCGTGCTGCAGGTGAGAGGGGGTGATGACGGGTATAATGCTCTGGGAGTCAATTAGGGGAGAAGGCTTGTGTGTTGTGGAGCACGAGGGGCTGGTGCAGAGCCTGACACAGGCGCAAAAACTCAGAGACAGAGTGGCCGTGCTGCAGGTGAGGCCTGTGGTTTGATTGAAGTAAAACTTAGTAGTAGAGCTGATTTCTGTGGTTTGCCGCTGCCGCTGCCGCTGCCGCTGCTGCCACTGTTGCTTCTGCTGATGATGTTCTTTCTGCTGCTGCCTTATCTCTCTTTTCTGCCCGGCCATCTCATCTCATCCCCGACAGGAGTTGAGAGCAGCGGGGTGCAAGTCACTGGCGGAGGGTCGTCGGTTCATCCAAGCTCACTACAAGGACAACCCCGCAGCTGCTGCTGCTGCCATTGCGTGCCTTCCACCCTCGGCCACAGGTGCGTGAAAGCTATCTACCACCAACACATACACATGTATCTCAGTCAGTCCTACAAGGACAACCCCGCTGCTGCTGCTGCTGCTGCTGCTGCTGCTGCTGCTGCTGCTGCTGCCATTGTGTGCCTTCCACCCTCCGCCACAGGTGGGCTTACCCACCTTTTTGCGACATGTGGGCTATGCACCCTTCGTCACAGCTGTGTGGAATCGGAGGGTAAACCCTGATTTTTTTTTTTTTTTTTTTTTTTACCCTGGTCATGTCGTCCCGACCCGACCTCAAAATCGGTCCCCCAAGGTCTTTAACACAAAATCGGGTCGGCCCAACCCGTCGCTCATGCCTAGCTGGCCACACCACGCGTCATGATCATGAAAGTTACCTTGCATACATCTGCATATCTATCCACATGTGCTCACATAACCACATGTGCCTATATGCATGTGCATACCTATGTTGCATATATAGATGTGCATACTTGCATGTACATTGCATACCTCCATGTGCGTGGTGTACCTAAATGCGTAGATATGCATGCGCATCTGTGTGTGTGCATTATTTGATGTGCGTGTATACATGCACATATAGACATATGCACATAAACATGTCCGGCTATCTGGATATGTGCATATCTACATGTGCGCATTACACACATGCCACATGTGCAAGCAAACGTACATGCGCAGCATGCATGCATGCACTTTACTGCACATGCCGCCTCCGCAGTAACTCTGTAAATTGCCACTAGCATGAGGCGCATGCTCTCACTCAGTGGCTTGTGCTCCATCCTTACCGCTCAACTGTCCCGCTGATTCTTCGCCCCTCTGCCACCTCCGCCCACTCTCCTTGTTCCTTTGCCTCATGTTCCCACAGCCATCAGCACGGCATCACCAGGCGGTGCCTCAGCAGCTCTTGACATTTCCGCCCACCCAGGATGTGACCTTCTATCAGCTAAGGTGATAGTTCCATTTTCAAGATATCTGTATGTGCTGGTATAGGCCAAGGTGAAATCCATGATAGTCATTTTTTAACCATCTCCATGCCTCCGATTCCTCCCATGCTGCCGACATGCCTCTGTGCCTTGATTGCTCTGACTCCACACTGTCTCTGCTTGTATGTCTTTTGAGAATTCTCAAAAAACATACGCTGCGACATGCCTCTGTGCCTTGATTGCTCTGACTCCACACTGTCTCTGCTTGTATGTCTTTTGAGAATTCTCAAAAAACATACGCTGCGACATGCCTCTGTGCCTTGATTGCTCTGACTCCACACTGTCTCTGCTTGTATGTCTTTTGAGAATTCTAAAAAAAAATACGCTGCGACATGCCTCTGTGCCTTGATTGCTCTGAATCCACACTGTCTCTGCTTGTTTGTCTTTCTTCTTTTGACTTCTGCTGTCGTCTTTCAATCCAGTCCAGGCATTTGGCCAACCTCTTTCCTTCCTCACTACCTCCCTGCCTTCATCCCGTCCCCACCCATGCATCAACTTCACATCCTTCCTCTTGTGCATGTCTTCCGTGTCATGACAAACAACGCCATCCACTCGCATGGAAAACGCCAAACCATGCCGTGCTCTCAGGAGCGGGAGCTGTGCATGCACATGCGCCTGCTGCCAGCTCACTACCTCCGCGCCAAGCAGGTGAGGCTCTTAGTGCTGGCGTATGGTGCTTTACGAAACAAAGCTTGAGGTGAAATTAAACTGAACCTGATATGAAACTCACTCTTAAGATGAAGAAAAAAAGGGTCAGGCCAGCACGAAGTATCAGAGTGGAGTCTAACCTGTTCCTACGTATAGACTTCTTGAGCGATCTTTGGAGGGAATAATGGGTAAGTTTCAGAATGCATGCATCCTGGCTTAGCCTCTCGTGAGCAGCAGTGCACCGACTGTTCCGCCTGCCCCCCGCCACCACCCACGTCATGTACCCTTCCTCTTTCCCCATCCCCTCCTTCCGTGCCGCCCATCTCAACAGGTCATTCTGCAGCAAGCAGCCCTGTCAGGGGGGCCATCTCGCGAGCAGCAGTGCATTGACTCTTCCGCCTGCCCCCTGCCACCACTGACACCATGTGCCCTGCCTTCTCTCACCATTTTATCCCCCCTCCCCTGCCTCCCATCCCAACAGGTAATCTTACAACAAGCAACGCTATCAGGGGGGGCCATCTCACGAGCAGCAGTGCACCGACTCTTTCGCCTGCCCCCTGCCACCACCGACGCCATTTTTAGACTCCTGCTGGGGGCTGGGTGGATAGCTGAAGCTGGGGGAAACATTGCTGGTGGGGGAATGGGAGGGGGAATGGTGAAGCAGGAAGGGATGTGAGGCCATGCTCTCCCCACCCCAGCCATCACTGATGCCATCTTCAGGCTCTTGCTGGTAGCTGGCTGGATAGCTGGATTCGGGGGAATTGTGCTGCCAGGGGAATGGATTGGGGATGGGCGATGGGATTGGGGATCAATGGTGAAGCACAAGTGAGATCATGGTGCCACCAGTATTTCAATCGAACGCTTGAGTGGGTCCAGGAGCCGGTTCTATGGCTGAGGCTTGGGGAGGAGCAAATGTGGGGGGTGGAGGGGATGGTAGAGGAGCAAAATATGCAGATGGGAATCGAAAATGGAAACGGTAATGCACAGGTGGAAACTAAGCATGCTATGTTAGTTCTAAGCATTCTCGGCCTTGTACAACAATGCGTGGTTCGACAAAATCTGGCACGTGACGTTAAACGGTCTAGGCCGTGAGTGTCGGACATACCGTCAGGAATTTAAGAATGTCTTAACCCATTCCAATAATATTTTGTTTTTTAGACTTGCATTTACATTTATTTGTGAAACACTAGCGCATAACGAATCGGCAGAGAATCTGAGGTGCACGCGTCAGGAAATCTGACGTCACGTACAAGTCTATAGTGAATAACCTGGATCGCACCCCCAGGGTTCACGCCTAGCGCACGCCCTCCTCACGCCTAACGACTGACGATGACGAATCCGGCGAGACAGGTGACGGATCATAGCTCAGTGCGAGAAAATATATATATTTTTTTGGAACATAGTACACTATACAATGCACTACATCCACAGTCGTAACTGGATAGAAAGGGAAGATGCAGGCCAACCACATATTGTTCGCATTGCCTTCCCTGTAGCCCTCTATGGAGGCTTAAAAAAGGTACTGGGTCTCTCCCATATCGAGGTGAAATCACTGTTCCACACCAGTTGCTCACTCTGCTCGCATATGCGGTTCAGCGCAGCCGCCTCACCAGTTGTCAAATTTGGCCAGCACCCTCCTGACCCGCCCCCCTTCTGTCCCCTTTTCCCTGCACACCCCTCACTGTAGATCCGCACATGCCTCCTGAAGCTTGCCCCGACTTTCCTGGCAACCCGCTTAGGCTTGAAACATTTATTCCGGAAAACCGCATCACACCTCTCCAACCATATATGCCTGAACGTGACCGCAATAAGTGTCGACTCCGGGAAACCTGAGGCTGTGCTGTCTTCAGCGAATAACAGCTCGCCCAGTGTTCCCACTGCTCTCGCCGGATTGATCAGCCGTAGTGAATCCTGAAGCGCGCCACATATCCCGCTAACCACCGGGCAGCTCATCAAACAGTGAGTTGGCGACTCCTCCTGTTTGCAATGTGGGCAGCATGCACGCGAGCCGAAAAAGGCCAGCCTGCTGCCCACTTGCAGATTGTGACTGTGGAGCCTCAACAGAACCTCTCTTGCCTTTGCTGGGGTGGCCAACGAGTCCCTTTTCCCTATGGCCTTCTCCCAGTTTATCTTCCCTCCCCAGTTCTCCTCCCATTTTTCCTGCTGCTTCGGCTGTTGCACCGACTTCTTGAGCAGATGCCTCAGCTTCCTTTGCGCTGTAGGTTTCCCCTCCGCACATAGAAAGGAGGCTCGTAGCCGCGTCAGCGGCTCTCCCGCCCGACCCAGCACGTAACCTCCACTCGCCACCATCGGTGCTCAGCAGCACCGGCGGCTGTACTTCTGTCCCCACGTGCTTAATCTTCCCTTTGCTGTCCACCTCCACTCTTTCGCACTTTAGCTCTTCTTTTGTCGAGAGTGCCACTTGCAAGTAGCTCTGACTCCCTCCCACGGATTTCCCCACTTTGACCAGGGATGTGGCTTCCACAATATCCGCCGCCGACACCTTCCCGAGGAGCTTCTCTTTCCAACTCTCTGGGACCGCCTTCCAGGCCATTAACGCCCACCTCGCCGTTGATGATCTCCCTGTTTGCTTGGTCAACGTCCACAGGTCTTTGACCTTCCGGCTCCCGTCATACTCCTCCTGCAGTAAGTCTCCCACTACCAATCCTTTGAGGCATTCCGAGCCTTTCTGCCTCCCAAAAGGGCTTTCCCCCTGGTAATGAATCCACCTGCTAAACCACAGCCGTTCTTTCTCCATCTCCCACCTGTTTGCAGGTTCCGGTAACTCTGGCAACTGTTTATCCCACATTAGTGGCACCAGCTCCCGCCACCGTTCACTTCCGCCTCTCCATTCGGCGAGGATGGCCTTGTGTGCCAGCAGTGTTGCCCAGCCCACTGGCATGCTTGCCGCTCTCTCCATCAGCCACTGCTTCATCGGGTTCTCCTCCAGCAGGGCCGCTCCCAAGTTCCATAGTGCTTGTCCGTTGATTCTCTCTGTCGGGCTAATCACCCCCAATCCCCCCTCTTTCCTGCTCAGGTGCGCCAGGAACTCGCTCCACAGGATGAAGTGCTTCTCCTCGTCCGCGCATCCCTTCGATATGAAGTTATGGCACAGTTTCTTCATCTTCTTCCAGATCTGCTTCGGCGGCTGATAGATCTGCGCCTGGAACAGGATCACTGGCATCACATACGCGTTCAAGACCGTCACCCTTGCCGTCGTGGTCAGGTGCAGTTTCTCCCAGTTACGCAGGATTGTGTTCACCCGCACCAGAGCTCGCTCCCATGTTGGTTCCGTATTCCCATCTGCCGTTAACCAGATACCTAACAGTCTTTCCGGCTTGTCTCTCTCCGCCCAGCTGAAGCCTGTGTCTGTGCGAGGAGGGAGCAGTCGGTTCTTTCCTAGCGGCATCACCGTTGATTTCCCTTGGTTTACCTGCAGCCCAGACCTGTCCCCGAATTCACTTAATAACTCCTTCGCCTTCCCAAGCTGCTCCTTGCCTTGAAGCAACAGCGTCGTGTCGTCCGCATACCCCAGGTACGCCAGCTCCCCCTTCCCCCTTTTCCTCAGTCCCAGTTTCCTTCTCTTAGCCTCCTGGCTCAGTGGTTCTGCTGCGCAGATGAAAAGGTAGGGTGCAAGTGGGCACCCCTGCCGTACGCCCGACTCCACTGCTACTTTCTCGCCCAGCCAACCATTGACTAGGAGTTGTGTCGCCGCTTGGTCGTGTAAACCTCTGGTCCATTTGATGAAGACCTCTGGAAAGCCCATCCTCTCCAGCGTGCGGAAGAGGAACTGTCGTGACACTGAATCGTAAGCTTTTTGAAAATCAACCATTAGTAAGTACCAGTCCTCTTTCCCGACAACCGCCGCATCAATCGTGTCCGCAACCACCTTCACTGCATCTGCCAGCCTCCTGCCCGGTACGAAGCCGAATTGATGTTCCGAGATAACCTGCGGTAATTCTCTCTTCATCCTGTTCGGCACCAACTTTGCAACGATCTTATAGACTGCTCCCAGTAGTGTAATCGGTCTGTAGTTCCCTAACTCCGTTCTCTCCCCCTTTTTATGAAGCAGGATTCTGACAGCTGTAGAGAAGTTCTCCGGCAGCTTCCCCGTGGACTCAAACTCTCTCATGAAATCCATCACCGTATCGCCCAGGAGGTCCCAGTTGTCTTCCAACAGCTCTTTCGGCAACCCATCTGCTCCTGGTGCTTTGCCTCTCGGAAGCTCCCTCATCGCCGTTTTAACTTCCGCTTCTGTCCACGGCGCAGCCATTCGACACACCCCTTCCATGCTCAGCACCTTCCGAGGATCCATCGGCCATTCCTCCGGAGCCTCATTTTGCGTTTTGTCGGTGAAAAGCTTGGTGAAGAAATCTGACGCCGCTACCAGCACTTCTCTTTCCCCTTCAAACTTTCTCCCTTCATGCACCACCCCCTTAATTACCGTCTTCGCCTTCCTTGATGCTACTGGTTAAAAATTTTGTCGCTATCTCTCCTTCCAACTCCTCTCCCACCCCAGCCATTGTCTGCTTCCGTTTCCTCTGGCTGTCCCTGTACGCTTTCAGCTGCGCCTCATATTTTATCAGCTCATCATACTTGCCAGTTAGACTGGTGTCCACCATGAACTCCTGCCTTAAAGCAGCCACCCTGTCCTCCAGATGCGCTAATGTTTTCCCGATCCTTTTCCTTTCCTCCCTCGCATGAGCTTTCAAGCTAGCCTGCAACGTGATCAAGGTGGACTGCAGCCTCACTCCACCCTTCCCCGTCTGCCCCTGCAGCACTTTTTGTATCGTCCTTCGGGTTCCCGCACTCTTCGTTTGCGCAGCGTGCATCCTCCACAGCCCCGGGCCACATTCAGCTCCCGTCGCCGCTGTCAGGACAGTGGTAATCCCAAACCAGTGGTCTGTGACACCCACCGGCGCCGCCATGTGATACGCATCCGCCACCATCGGTAACATCGAGAGCGACGTCAGTGCCCGATCAATGCGCGAACTCGTCATTGTCGATCTCGCCAGAAAGGTGTATTCCAGCCTAGTAGGGTAGAGTGTCCTGAAAACATCTTTCAGCTCCCAGCACGCGCATATGTCCAACATCCTTCTATTCTCTGCTTCCGATCCCCCCATGGAAGTTTTATCCATAACCGGATCTGCTACCACATTGAGGTCTCCTGTCAGCAACAGATGACCCGAGCTCGGCAGCGAGTCCATGAAACCAGCAAAACTGTCCCTGAAAAACTCTCCCCTTGCCGTTGCTTGCGCAGGGAAGTATGCCGCCACCAATATCCACGACAACTCTCTCCAGTTGACAATCACCGCTACCAGTCTTCCTGATGCATGAGATCGCACATTACTGAAAACCACCTCTTTGTTAAAACTCAGAACTGCCACCCCTCCAGCCGTTTCAGCAGATGAGACTACTGCCACCGCCTCCGCTCCCGTTTGAGTCCAGAAATTGTGGTCCTCCTGTAACCGTGTGTCAGTAAGAATTATTATTCCCCTAGATTTGTGAAGCCATTCCCTCAGGCCCTCCCGCTTCTCAGCGCCGCCCAGCCCATTGACATTGAGCGCGCCGATGGTGAGTTCGAGTTTTTTATCCATTCAACCACTGACTGAGACCCCACATCATCCACGGGTCTGACGGTTTCATTGTCCAGCTCCCCTCTGACCAGCACAGCCT